CTGTCGTTATTATATAATGACTGGTAGAAATTATTATTGGGAAATATGAAGAGAGAGAGCTTGTAAGCCCTCTTTTCTTCAGCCATTAAAATTGGATCTTTAAATGGGTTTAGGACACACCTGGAAAGATAAGCCCCACCCAGGGTCTTGAGTGCTCAGGACACAGGAAGGTGAAGAGATGTGCCTAGGGGGCTGTTAACAGATTGAAGGGGAAAAAAGGAACTCTTTGGACTTTTGAATTTTTAACTAGTGGTTTTTGTCAGAAGCTGGAAAAATTCTGGAGCCATGAAGAAAACTCCTCACTAGGATTGAATGTTCAAGGGAGCCCGTGGGCAGGCTGAATTCTTGCTGGGTGACCACCTGGATCCACACGTCTAAGTGAAAAACACATTGGGTGGCCGTGGTTGTCATCGCTGCTGTTGGCTGCCTTGGAGTTGGTTCTGACCCATAGCCACCCCACGCACCTCAGAAGAAAACACTGCCTGGTCCTGCACTGTCCTCACCATTCTTCCTGTGTTGAGTGGTGGTGGTTGATAATCTCTTATATTCTAGTGTGTTTCAAATACCTTCTGGAATAAGGAGGGGAGGGGTGATGGAAAAGGTCAGAGAGAAGCTGTAGAACCAAGGGCACTAAGGGCCTTAGAATCCTAGGTGTTTGGTCTTCCTTATGGGGCAGTTATTGTATGACCAGTTTCTAGCCTGGGGTGGAAAACTACAGCTCCCAAACCAACTCAGGTCGCCTCCTCTTTTCCTGAGGCCCAAGAGGGAAGAAGAGTTTTTATGTTCTCAAAGGGCGGCAAACCCACCAGAGCGTGTATGTGGCCAGCAAGACCAAAGACATCTACTCTTTGGACCTACCCGGAGTGCGTCAACCTCCGCTTTCACAAAAGAAGCTCATTGGAATAATTCGTGCCTCAGGCACCATCCCTGTGAACAAGCTCAAACTCACTGCCATACACTCGATGGGACAGAGAACTGCCCCTGTGGGTTTCTGAGACTGTAAATCTTTGGGGAGTAGAAAGCCTAATTTTACTCCTGACCATCCACATAGGGCATAGCAAACCCATGGCACGAGTGAGTTCATTTGACAAGCTTTTGAAGCTGCCTGTGTTTAGGCCCCAGGTGAGACTGCTCACCACAAAGTGGGTGGTTCACACCCACCAGGGGCTCCACAGGTACAAGTTGAGGCAATCTGCTTCCTTGGGAACCCAGGTCAGTATGAGTCAGCCAGGTAACTGAGTCTGAAGCCCCTCAATGGCAGGAGGAATTTATTCCCACCTGTTGCTATACTGAGGCAGTTGACATGCTGCTGTGATATGGGCAGCTACGTCATCAGTATTTCAAATACCAGGAGGGTCGCTGGGGTGGACAGATTTCAGCGCAGCTTCAACAGGAAGGGGCAGAAGAAAGATGGTGTCTGAAAACCAGCCTAGGAACACCCTGTGCATCACAAGAGAATGTTGTGCCCCATGGTGCTGCAGGACGAACCGCTTGGCTGGAAGGCAGGCAAAACAACGGTGGCTCTAACAAGGGACTCCACATGCAGTCATGAAGACGGCACAGGGCCAGGCAGTGGCCGCTTCTGTTGTCCTTGGGCACGGGTCAGTCAAGTGGATGACAAGTTCCGTGAAAGGCCTGGGTTACTGGCCACTGAACCTTCCTGCCTTCCTGGGGTTTGGAATACAGCTGAGAGACGAGTAGGATAGAAACCATCCAAAAAAATAAAAAAGCATGAGTCTGGAAGTGGAATCAGAGAAAGCACACAGCCGTCTGCCAATTGTCAAGGACTAGCCAGCTGCCAGTAAACATTAGGGCAAGAATCTACATTAAAGCTGGGTTTCTGAGCCGCATGCCACGGTCTCCAGTCCAAGGGCATTTGTTAGCAGGGAGGAGAGAGCAAATATCTAGCAAGATGCCAGAGGTTAGGTGGCAGGACCTAGAGAGATGGTGGTCAAAATGCTCTTATTGAACTCATCGGTATAGAGCTGGTCTTAAAATCCAGCAGAAAGGACAGCGATGAAAACATTGTTGCTCTGAGATTCTTCAGTGTCTGGAAAGGCATCGAACGGAAAGAATACAAAAGAAGTTAAATTCGCACAGATGTTTCTGGCAGCATTCCCTGAAAGAGAACAGGGGGAGTCTGATGGATTCCAAACAAAGACTGTGGGTAACAAAGGCATCTCCAACCAGCTGGCACATTAAGGACTCATTAGCAGTGAGGTCTCTGCCTCTATCTCGCCTCCGTTTCTCTCAGGGCGGAGGCTAGCCAATGGACCAGACTGGCTCCAAGGGAAAACTGTCCTTCACAGCTCCTATTTGACCTTAGAAACACATGCAAATGAAGCTATGAATCCTCCTTTTAACTGGAGTCGCTGTAGGGTCTGAGCTGCCCAGGGAAACAGGCTTTGTGGCCTCACCCTCCCCGCAAGACCAGTTTGAGAAGCGGGGGACTGGATGAAACTCAGAAGGGTAGAGCACGCTGCAGTCTAGCGGTTCTCGACCTGTGGGTTGTGACCCCTTTGGGGGGGGGTCAAACAACCCTTTCACAGGGGTCGCCCAATTCATCACAGTAGCAAAATGACAGTGATCAAACACAGACCGGACACTACGGATGCTGGCAGTGGGTGAGTTGGGAGTACTCGGGCCTTTCGATAGTTCTATTATTTTCCATTTCCTTGTTTTCTGGTAATGTAGCCTTGTGACTTTCATAATGGAAAACGTGATGGGAAAAAATCTTGCAAAGTCACTAAGCCTCTTGGGTGGTCACTGAACCAGAGGCAGATGCTCACACGCCTGGTTTTGAGTTCTGTCCCTTTGGTACTCTTTGGACGGGTTTTAAGAACAGAGGACTAGATCCACGACCAGTGTTGGATTTGCTGTAAGTTGACTCGAGGCCAAAGACCAAATGAATGAGACAACAAAATACAGTAAAGGGAAAATAAAAAAATGCCTTTGTAGACTAAACATTCTTCTATTTGGCCTGTTAACATGTCTCCTCTGCTGAGCAGATGCGTTTATATTAACTTGCACAGTGAGTAATAATTCCGCCTAAATCATTAGCATAAGGACCCAAACCCCAAACTCATGGATCAATTCTGACTCACGGAGGTCCTCTAGTCTGTGGGTCTGAGACCGTGACTCTGTACAGAACGGGCCGTGGGTCTGAGACCGTGAGTCTGTACAGGATGGAACGGCTGTGGGTCTGAGACTGACTGTACAGGAGTAGAAAGGCTAGTCTTTCTTTCCAAGGAACAAATGGTGGCTTCCAACTGATCTGTAGTCAGCAGCCAACTCACAACCAAGACACCAAGGCTCCTGTCAGCACAAAGAAATCCGTGTTATCTAGCAGTCTCTCCACTGGGGTCTGGGGGCACAGACACCTTGTGAAGCACACAAGCCAGCTTCCTGTGCAGCCAAAGCAGAGTCTGTCTCTGGGGTGGGGAAATGATCAAGAGTGACGGAATTTCAGAAATCCTTCACTGGGAAGTTAGCCCAGTCTGCAGGCAACTGTGAGAGCAGGGTTTCACCCCTCAAGCAGCCACCAAGTTATGGTCTCAGAAGATCCCAGGGGCAGTTCGACCCTGTTCTAGTGTCACATTGGTGCAGCCACTACAAACTGCTGGAGTTTTCTATCAAATACCTGGTACTGGTGAATAAATGTGATTCTGTAATGGCATAAATATGGGGGTGGGGGTGTATAGTACTTCTTTGCCATATAGTGGCTAAACTTTCTAAAACTTCTCTGACGATATGGAGACTTGCCCACTGCCATTGAACTGCCTTCTGAGATGGTACATTGCCATGGGAGCCACAGGTACATCTTTCATGCAGGGAGTGGCCGGCAAGTTTGAACTGCCGACCTTGCGTTGAGCAGCCCAGAGGCTCACCCCCAATGGCATCGGGCTTCTTTTGCATGTTTTAGTTAGGGACACCTGAGTAGCAAATCAGATGAACAGTACAATGGCCTGAGCTCAACACAGCAGTGTCACTGTGCTGCAGAGCACATGGGACTCCCGCGTTTCGCCAACGTGTCTGGTCAGCCACAGCCTGATGGTCATTCAGGAGAAGACTATGTGAATGGCAGACGGCCCTAAACCTGAGTTGAGAAGGTCAGCAGCTAACTGACCGTGCGGTCAGAGGGGCCACAGGGTAGCTAAGGAAGGACACACACACACAGGCCCCCAGACTGTGGAGCGGACTTTATTTCTGCAGCCCAAAAGCAGCAAAGATGGGCAAGTGCAAGCTGGGAGCCCTCAGTGCCGTGGCGACTCGCGTCCTGAAGAAGGCTGAGGCATTCTGAACTTGGAAAGGTCCAGGTTCAAGTCTAAGAAGGTGTACTCGTTGTAGTCATGGTGCTGGAGGTTCTTGTAGGTGGTGTTATCAAAGGGCTCGGCGGGCGCAGCAGCCGGCTCAGTCTCTGTGAAAGACACACACAGCCCGTGAGGACACCGAGCACCGAGGGAAGTGTCCGTTGGAGTAAGTCAGCGTGCCAGCCACACCTGACACTGCAATCCTCACATCCTACCTGGAGGGCGGGCACTGTCTAATTGTAAAGGCTAGGAAAGCAAGAGGCTCGTCACAAGCAAGAAGGAATGTTATTAGTTTAACATGTGCTTTAAAAACATGTACCCTTAGTGGAAGAAGCGAAAAGAGTTATTACGAAGTAATGCTACCAGGCCCAGGAACTGTCAGAATTCTGAACCTCTCTAGAACAATCATGGAGGTACTGTTAGGTCACTTAAAATGTGGGCAGCGGGGGCACAGGATGAGATTAGAAACCCATCTACAACAGAAATAAGCCATTTCTTGAAGAGCGTTCTTAGGAGCAAAAGCTAAGTGAGGCTTCCAATTTAAAAATAGAAAATTCGAGACATTCTGGCTCCTTTAAAATGTGTTGCAGGTTTTAAGTTACTCAGGCAAAATTAAAAATCACACCCAACCAAACCAATGCTGTCAAGTCTGTTTTGATCCACAGCCAGCCCACAGGACAGAGTGGAAGTGGCCCAGAGCTCTCCAAGGCTCCAGCACAGAACCATGGACCTTTCCTTTAGTTAGCAGCCAAGTGCTTTACCACTGTGCCACCCCAGGGATCACCAAAACAAAGGTAAAGGCACTGGAAAAAGAATGTGTAGTTTTTGTTGACTTATTTTAAGGTGGCATTTTGCAAAGGCACAGAGTAAAAAAAAAAAGTACTTGATTTTAAGTGGAAAGAAAAAATCCAAATCACAGACACCTACAGTTAGTATGGAGAAAAAGAAAGCTTTCTACTCCCGTACAGTTACACTTTTCAATAGGGAAATGGATCTATGCACATATATTTATAGGTTTAGTATTAAGGTAGCAGGTGGACATTGGGCCTCTACTCAAGTACCCCCTCATCATTAAGAACACTTGGTTCTAATAACCTGGCATTCCATGATGTTCACCTTCCCAACACTATTGCTGAAGACAAAACGGGTGTATAAGCAAAAGTGGTGAAGAAAGCTGATGGTGCTGGCTATCAAAATATAGTGTCTGGGGTCTTAAAGGCTTTAAGATAAACAAGCGGCCATCTAGCTGAGAAGCAACAAAGCTCACATGGAAGCAGCACACTAGCCTGCGTGATCATGAGGTGTCCATGGGATCAAGTATCAAAGACCCAGAACAAAAAATCACATCATTGTTAATAAGTGGGGAGTGCAGAGTGGAGACTCAAAGCTCACGTATAGGTAATTGGACATCCCCTAACAGAAGGGTCATGGGGAGGAGACAAGCCAGTCAGGATGCAGTATAGCACTGTTGAAATATACAACTTCCCCCTAGTTCTTTAATACTCCCTCCCCCCACCCACCTCCCCACTACTGGGAACCCAATTCTACTTTACAAGTTTGGCTAGACCAGAGGATGTACACTGGTACAGATAAGAGTTGGAAACCCAGGGAATCCAGGACAGATAAACCCCTCAGGGCTAATATTGAGAGTAGCAGTACCAGGAGGGTAAGGGTAAGGTGGGGGGAAAAAGAAGGAACTGATCACAATGATCTACATATAACCCCCTCCTATGGGGATGGACAACAGAAAAGCAGGTAAAAGGAGACATCGGTCAGTGTAAGACATGAAAAATAGTAATTTATAAATTATCAAGGATTTGTGAAGGAGGGAGGCGGGGAGGGAAAAATGAGAAGCTGATACCAAGGGCTCAAGTAGAAAGAAAATGTTTTGAAAATGATGATGGCAACAAATGTGCTTGACACAATGTATGTATGTATGGATTGTGATAAGAGTTGCACGAGCCCCCAATAAAATGATTTAAAAAATAAACAAAGAGAGTTACATTTTTGGAAACCCAC